AAAGAAAGGCAAAGCATAACAAACAGCAAACCCAAGCAACAAATCAGTAACATGACCAAAGTCACCCAGAACTTGATCTCACTTCCCTGGTGTCTCCAGGCCAGCCTTAGGGTCTAACTCACAGGCTACCACACATGCAACTATTGGAAGAATATTTTCAAGTATTAAATTAGGAGAATAAGGGCTTTAGGGATTGAAGAGACATATCAGTGAAGACTGGAGCCGTCAAGGAAGGCTTCCCAAAGGAGGCAGCACTTAGTCAAAGCTCTGAAGGCTTTTAGTTAGTTTCAGAGATTCATTTCACTGGACCAGCTGCATTGTATGGTAGGACTATAGGAGGCATTGGGGCAAGTAGCTGGGACTTTGTCAGGTTGGCTCTTCCCTGGGGGCAGTTTCTGAAATTCTCTGATTGGCCAGGGCATTGTTTTCTAGAGAGCAACTGCATGAAAGTGATAGGGTCAGTTCTCAGTAAAACTGTGAAGTAGGTGGGACTGGTCTGGGTGTTATGGGCATTTTAGATTGGACAGTTCTTCACTGGAACTATGCCATGCTTACACACTTTCTCTACACCCCCTCGAGGGCAGTAACCACTCAGGTGAGACGTGCCACTCCCTCAAATACCCAAGATTCTCCTTTCTAGCTTGCCATCCTCAGTTAGGATTTTCAGACTTAGCAAACAAAACAGAACTCCCAGTTAAACTTGAATTTCAGATAAACAAGGAATAATCTTTTAGTGTAAGTATGTTCCAAATATGCATTATTTGTTGTTTATCTGAAATTCAAATTTAACTAGAGGTCCTTATTTTATCTGGAAGCCCTACCCACCATCTGTCCTTATCACATAGAAACCTGCCTCTCAGAAATTCCAACTGGGTTGGTCCTTGTACTGTGCTGAACCACCCTGCTCTTCCCTGTGAGACCTAATCATTCTGTATTTCAGATCCTCATGTACATGCTTTGTGCTGAGTCTCAGTGGGATGGTAAACATTTTTAGTTAGATGAACAAATTCTTAGCACGTAGGCTTAAACCGGTTAAAATACACATCAGTCTCTAGAAGGCCCTCAAGCTGAACGGCGGTAGGGAAGACAGACCAGGAGATAAGAGCCATCCTTAGAATTTACAGCTGATGCCATGGGACCCACATTTTTCAATGATTCCCAATTTTATCTGCACAATGGAGGAGCTTTAAACACTATTGAAGTCTGGCCCAGCACTCACAGACTCTGAATTATTCTGGGGTAGAGCCTGGGCATGTGAACTTTAAAAATCACAGTGCTCCCCACCCCTGCCTCCCTGCCTCCTCATGGTTCTAACATGTAGCCAAGAATCACTCCTCTACTTCCTAAAAAATGATAAGAGAAAGGAGAGAGCAAGATAGGGGGCTAGAGGGAAAGAGAGAGAAAGAGATATGGTTTCAGGTGCTCTGCTTAGCATTGGTCATTGAGGGGATTTGGGAGAATCAAGAGGCAAATATATTTCTCTCAAGCAGGGGGAAAAAGTTTCAAGTAATATACTCTGAATGTGTTCCATTTTGAGCAAAACAGATGTGAGAAATAACTTCTGGGGAACCCAGAGAGTGCTTCATTTTGTGCCAGACACTATCCTTGGAGATGCCACAGCTTACAGAAAAAGAAAAGCTTCCTAGAAAGAGTCTCATTTTCTTTACTACCCAGTGATTCTAACCAATGCCATCCTCAGGTTCAGAACCCAGGCTGCTCACACGCATAGTCTTGCTGGTGTTGGCTGAGGAGCAAGCTTCTGATTCACCACAGGCACCTCAGGGAAAGAGGCTCCCCTCTCGGCCCGGTGTGGGCTGTGAGCCCAGGGCATCAGTCACTATGTCATGAGCACACGCCAGCCTTGCCTCTGACAAGTACGTCATTATAGACATGGCTCCAGCCTTTACTGAGAGGTTCTTGCCACTGGCAGGAAGCTGCTTCTGCAGAATTAAAAACCATCAGAGTTGATCAAAGGAAGTGCAGGGTAGGCTGGCTGACGGGCCAGATCCTAATCTCTGCTCACTGGCCTCACACATCACTGCACATGAGTCACCCCGCTGAGCTCAGCGGACACGCTGTTTGGACTAGGCTTTTACAGGCAATGTTTGCCAAGCTCGCCTTTGCTGGCTCCGCTTGCTGCACAGAGCAGCTGAGAAGAGAGGCAGAAAGATGGGGATGCGGCTTAGATGTGGCTGCCCAGGTGCCAGGAGGGAGTTGTTGGTTCCCCAGGTACACATGATGATGGCACCAGGGAGTATTGTGAATCCTACTGTCTCCAACCCATCTTAGCTCAACTGGATGAACCCCATCAATAGCAGAGGAGCCCACACCAAGCCCACACATCCTTCCTGTCTTGCTAGCTCCCCAGTTAAGATGTACAATCACAGGACACACATCTTGCCTTCATGCAAACATTTGCTTCTCAACGAGCAGGAATTCCTTTTCTCAAAAGCAGGCAACACTTCACCACTCAGGCATCTTGCTCTAAAGCAGTGGAGTCCAGCAAAAAAGAGAGGAAAGTCAGAAAATAAAAATTCCTAAATTAAGAGCCAACCCATAAAAGCAAGGCTTCCCCCTAGTGCCTGGCCAGTGTGACATCACCGGGGATTACTCAATGAAAATGGTGTCAGAGTAGCAACTCAATTATATGTGGAAATTTTCCTCAAGAAACAGAACTCTGCAGAAAAGAAGTAGGGGTAGAAAAATCTAGCCCTGCCTTTGGATCTTTTGGGGCTGCTTCCAGAGAGGCTCGTTTCCCTGGGCAGAGAGTAGGGTGGGGTTCTCTTTTAAGCAGTGCCTAGCAGGCTCCTGGAGCTCAGGAGCAGTAGTAAATATAACCCAGTGGTTTTGTTTTGCTTCCTTCTGTGGAAGCAGTGGTAGAAACCAGATCAAAATCCTTTGTTTCAGATTCTGCCAAGTTTTGCTTCTGTGCATGGTGACTTGGGATGAAACAGCCCCCATTATTTTGTAAGCCAGGGATTCTTGGCTTGTAGTCTCTGCTGGGATTCTCTTTCAAGTATTTTAGGCTCCCATTTATCAAAGGCATCCAAATGGTCTTTGACACTTTCAAAATAAAGTCCTTATACCATTCTTGACTCTAAACCATAAATTTCCAAACTTACCATTGCTGAGTTACGTGTAATTTTCAAAGTATTTCTTGTTCCTGGTTTCAAGTTTCTTTGCATCTGTCTAGAATATTCAGGGTGGTCAAATTTGCACATGAAACCTGTCTCTTCTCTCCTTTGTTATTTTCGTGTCTGGAGATGGAAAGGCAGATGGAAATGGAGATGGAAGGGACCACCATGGATAGCCTTCCAGTTACTAAAGCAGTTGAGTGGAGTGGTTAGGGCCTAACCATCAGGAAAACCTATATATGAGCCTTGACTCTGCCACCAACTAGCAGCGTGACCTTGGAGCAATTTTCTTAACCTGCCACAGCCTTAGTTTCATCATCTATAAAATGTGGATTTGGGAGGACTAAATGAGCGAATGCAAGAAAAACATTTGGTAAAGTCCCAGGCACCCAGTAAAAATATGATCAATATATTGTTACTTATATTACAACAATTACTCTGCAACCAGCATTATATAACCAATGGTGGTAAGCTTGGTCAGATATACAGCTAACAATTCTTCCTTCTGAAATTCCTGAGTGCCTGAGAATTAACATTTGCATTAATCGAAAGTATTTGCCTCATGGTGCCTGTGCATTTTTTGTTAGGAAAAGAGCATAAGAGAGGAGGAGAGGATCATTTACAAATGGTTAAAAGGAGATACCCTTGGGGGCTCCTTTCCATAACCAGAAGAAGAAAAGTCCCATAACTTTTGAGGGCTTGCTATGGTTGGATGACAGAGAGGACAGATTCATTTCCCGGTGGCATCTGTTCATAGAGAAAGCCCTGGGTAGGAATTTTATGTGGTTTAATGGATAAAAAAAGCACATCCACCAAGCTTCTACCAGTTCTCTGGGTAGCAGGGGATGATGGGAACGAGTGGAGGTCTTTTCTGTTTAGAAAGGCACAGTGATGGGTGACATTTCTGGTACACACATGGACACTGGACATGATCTACAGGTGGGGCCTGGCAAAAGGGGAATTGGAGCTGCTCAGCATAATAAAAGTTAAGGCGTGTCTTTATTTGGTTGGGCAGAGTATGTTACTTTTAGGAAGATTCTCCCCTCCGTTCTTAATACGGATTTGGACTGAAACTGATGGTTTGTCTTTGGGAGGTATGTGTATGTGTCATTGTGATCTAAGAATTAATCACAGACCAAAAGACCATAGGAAGAATAAGGAGGAAGACAGACCTTGGCAGACAGACTCTGAAGAGAATAAAACTGGAGAGATGAAGCATACCATGGTTTATTCTGGGAGTAATCTAATCACATGGTATGATTCCTAATCAAGTAACTCAAGACTTTGAGAAATGTCTTACAGTGGAGTATCTGTATCTTACAGATTATTCTATTTGGAGTGGAGGGTAAGGGTTTGGTGGACTTTGTTGGGGAGGAATATCATGAAATGGAGTTGCATTCAAAGGTAAGCACTGTGGTAACTGCGTTATCTGTCCTTTGTGTTAAGGGCTCTATTCCTAGCACCTAATAGAGAGCCCAGGACCTAGTAAGTAGTCAGTAAATACTTGCTGAATGAATGAATTTTGCCACAGAGAAGAGAAAAGTGGGCTTACAGAGGAAAAGAAGAAAAAGAGGGAGGGCCTTCAGTTAGTCAGCAGGGCCAGGAAAGGGGAGATGCCCCCAGAGGAACCCTGCTAAGGGTTTTTCCTTCTTCCCTTGGGCTCTGGGAACAATCGTATTTAATATTCTGCCTTTTTTCCCCCTTTCATATTTATCCCCAAACTCTTAATGAAGTGCCGTACACATATGTGTTAGAGGTATAGGATTAAAGGACAAGACAGCAAAGGCAAAGGTGGCTTTCCTGCATCATCCCTTGTATTCCTTTCCTAGTGCCAGCATAACAAATCACCACAAATTTAGAGGCTTAAAACACCACAGATTTATTATCGTACTGGTCTGGAGGTCAGAAGACCTAAAAGCAAGGCATCAGTAGGGCTATATTGCTTCCGGACGTTCTAAGAGAGAGTCTGTTTCCTTGCCCTTTCCAGCTTCTAAAGACTGCCTGCATTCCGTGGCCCCCGGCTCACATCCCTCTGACTTCTCCTCCCGTTGCCACGTCTTCTCTGACTCTTCCTCTTTCCTTTATGATCATTATATCATGCTCACCTGGATAATCCAGGATAATCTCCTCATCTCAAGGTCCTTAACTTAATCACATCTGTTAAGTTCTTTTGCTATGTGAGGTAACATATTCACAGGTTCCCGCACGTGGACATTCTTAAGTGTCATTATTCTGCCTACTATGCCCCTGAGGCCACCCTCAGTGTCAGGTCAAGGGAAGATGCAGCTCCAGAGCACAGGCTTCACCCACATTACAGTGAGCAGAGACCCTGGCTGAGTGTGGCATTTAGGATCAGATGAAAGCAGAGGAAGAGGCTGCAGCCTGGACAGGCTTTGGAGATGAGAGACTGCTCCCTTTCTGCAAATATACTGGAGAAAAGTGATTCTTGGTGACAGAGGCAGAAAGATAGTTTCTGTTATTATGAATATGGGCTGTCAAGGCAGCAGACACGCAGGTTACAGCTCTTTTGCAGTTTGGGGGTTAAGAATTTGAAACAATTTGTTAGGTGCAGTGCCTGGTTTATGGCAGGTGCATAATTCAATAAGAGCCATCTATTATTAATACCAGACGGATAAGGGGCAGGGGTGTTCCAGAGCCCCAGCTGCTGCACGAGGCAGGTCACACACAGCTCTACATCCCTGACCCCAGGCAGACAGGAAGAAGATGTGTCAGAGGGGAATAAGGTATGGGGCATGTGTGCAGCACCAGAGTTTCAACTGTTCTTCATCTTAACTTATTCCCACATGGGCTAGGAGGAAGCATCTGCCCGGTTCTTTAATGACACTTGGAACTCACTGCTGCAGTCAAGAAGGAAATATTTTTGTGGTTTTTCTGTGGGGGAAGAAAGTAATAAATCTTTCTGTTGTTGAAGGAACACCTTTCAGTGGTGTAGCTCTGAGAAGGATGTGTTTTTTAAAGCATATGTGCTTAAAAGTTTGTAAGGCCATCAGGAAGCTTCATGTAGACTCTGAGGCAAGAACAAAGTGTGAGCTGGTGGTCACAAGCTCTGTAGTAGTCACAGGTTATAGATTCAATAAAGAGATATTCCTTTTAGAACAGCTAGGATTTGTGAGTGAGTGCTGGCTCTGGAACGCTCATTAGTGTCTCCCTATGATTTCCTATGGAGCCCATCCTCAGCAAAGCTCCATGTTCAGTGCCTGCTCTAATCAGTTGTGTGTGGTAGAAGAGGGTGAGATCTTGTTCTGAAGGAGATCATTTATTCTGCACAAATGACTTGAACCCTTGCTTTATGCCTGGCATTGTTCTAGGTTCAGGAGATACTGTAGTGACCAAAACAGACAACAAATAATAAATATGTGTCAGGTTATATAAGGGGTATAAAGACAGGCAAGGCAGAGTAAAGGGCTTGAGAGTGGAAGTGGTGTATGCTATTTGATGTGGATGTCAGGGAAGGCCTCCCTGATAATGGGTACTTGTGTGCAGACCTGAAAGAAGTAGAGGCAGTGGCAAAGGGGCAAGTCACAGAGACTTCTGCAGGGTGGTGGTCCAGGCAGAGAGGACATCTGTCAGAGTCGATGTGAACAGCTCACTTTTTAGTGCACTGTGTATTGTGCTGGTCCAGGTTACACAATCCATCCCTTTCCCTGTGCAAAGACCTCACACATGACTGTGGCTCCTGGCAGCTCCTTTGTATAACATGCCCCAATCTTCAGCCACAGCAGACTGCACCTGAGGAGGGCATCCAATCCAAAATGGGACAATCAGGGATAGACACTGTCCAGCAATCAATCTTGCATAAAGTGATAAGAACCTGGAGGAAGGCAATAACATGGGAAAATCAGCAGTGTGCTGTGACCATCTGTGGAGCTAACTGGGGGGTTTGAGTATAGGATGCTGGAGTTAGAAGGCCTGGTCCCAGGCAGAAGCCCAAGGCCTGTGTGGGATTTTCATGACTGAGAGCAGGTTTACCAACTGTCCTTGAGTCACAGTCTCACCCCAAGGCTGTGCTTATGCAGTCCCCACATTTACTGGGGTAAGCCAAACCAGTCTTAACTACTCTGCCTAAATCTCCTGAGCATGTAGATTGGTTAGGTGGGGAGACTGCAAAGAGAAATACTCACACTGAGATTGCTTTTGAGTGAGGCAACATTCCCCCTCTGTTCCCGGATGAGTAGAAATGTAAACTGCATTTTTCAAAACTCTTACTGGATAGTGTCTTTTATAAAGGTACTACCTTTTGGAAAAGACTGGATGTTTCTATTTTGACAATGCTACTTGACGTGGTAGGTGTAAGGTAGTTAAAAAAAAAAAAAAAGGCCGTTTTCAGATGAGAAAGCAATCCCATTTTAATACCTGAATATCCAGTGGGGATGGAGCAATTCAGGCTCAGACGCACCTCTTGTTCCAAGCTCTCCCATCTCCTGGACCGCAGCCTCTGCACAGCTTACCCTGAGTTGGCTGAGCATTTTCTTCATGAGTAAAATGCAAACAACAATGTTCTTAAGGCCAGCGCATTTCTTTCTCCCAGGGAGTTTGTGAATTTGCAAGCTATTTCTCTGCTGAGCTGAGATTTCATGAAATAAGCTGCATAAGGAGTGTTAATGCAAAACCTTGCACTAGATACTAAATGCTAAACAAATACCAGTAATTACTAAGATAAATGTAAGTGCCTATAGAGGTTATACCACAAAAAGTCCTGGTTAGACATGTATGCTGAAATATTTCTGAGTGAAATGACACTGTGTCTGGGACTTGCTTTTAAAATTCCAATTAAAAAGAAAAGTATGCATATTTGGCAGGGAATGAGAAGGATGGGGATGACAGAGGAAATGTGCGGAGACTGCTCAAGCTGGGTGGTGGGGACATGGGAGTTCACTATTCCATTCTTTCTCATTTGGTGTGTATTTGAAAATTTTCATGATTGAAAAGTTAAAAGAAAGAAAAATGAAGTATGTCAGTGTCTTTCCCACTCTTTTCCCTCTTGACTGTTGTTACATAATATCAACTGGGATCTTAATGTGGGGAATTTGATTATGGGAGTTTTTGCAGTATGACTTCAACAAAGAGAAAAATTTGATAGATTATTTTTGGAGAGTGAAGCAGTCAGGGTTTCCAAGAAAAGTGATGTTGAAATGAATAATGAAGATTCCCTGCTCAGTGATGTAGCCTGCAGAGCTCTTCGAACATTCTGGGAACTCTGTGAAGGGGATAGTGTCACCCCTGCTACTCAGCGCTTACTTGTGCAATAGAGGAAAGACCCACAAGCTCCCTGCAGTTTAGCTCCGTCTCTCTAGGACAACAGTAGTGGGCATTACTTGTACTTTATACCCAGGGCTGTAGCCAGGAATGTGCAAGTCAGTCCTGCATCTGGCTCTTTGGATGTGATATTCTTAGAAGCCTCTGTGTCTTCCGGGGGGTTGAAGGGGAACGATGACACACCATTGAGGGTGGTGTGTGCAGTGCAATCAGGCAGCTTGCAGCCAGGGTCCAGCAGTCTCACAGACATTCCCACTAAGTCCAGAAAGGAGGACTGGAATGCAACAGGGAAGTTCTCTCTTCTCAGTCCTGTCACTCACTGGGTTTGCAGGGTGGAGTGGAAATTGCCTCTGGGTGAGCACACCCAACTCGCTCTCCACTCTAGCCAGAGACTTTACATCCTCAACAGCTGCTGTCTGTGTTTGGCTTTTAACTTGGCTGCCCAGCTCCCAGAGACCAATTTGCAGGGAACACCTGTGACACTGGCGTTCCAATCATATCTGACCTGCACCCACTCCCTACCGCTCCCTGCCACACACATTGTATATCTTCATTTCATTTTTCGGACAAGATTTATCTCAGGAGGTGCATACTTGATTTAGCCCTATGGTTTTGTTCTGGAGTTTCTTAAGATCTATTCCAAAAGCTAATCACTTAAAATGTGGGAGGAATTGGTTAATTTTTCTAGTGGGCTTCAGTGGAAACAATAAACTGACGGAGATGCATTCATCTTCTGTTGCTTGGACCACTCTGTGGGATAAGACTGGACAGTGAGTGATGCTTTAGGACCCTCCTGTGCCTTAATTAATCTTACAAATCAAGGTATGACATGGGTTATGAACCCTGTGTCACTGCTTTTTAAGAGCTGATCATCCCTTAAAAATCATTCATGACAATAGCACTCCTGGAAATGTCTAGAAAGTAAATTATTCAGAAGAAGAGGAGGGAAAATCTTTATATGTACTGAAATGTTTATGGAAGAATCACTTGTAATAGTGAAAACTGCAGACAACTTAATGTACAGCAGCAGGGGAATGGTTAAATGAATTATGATATATCTGTGGAAGACCATGCAGCCACAAACAATGATAATTAAGAAGACTATGCAAGGATAATGAAAAGTGTTTATTAAGTTATGTTAAACAATAAAGTGGAACACAAAATCTATATGAACTTCATGTAATGATTTAAGACTGGAAGGAAATTTTGGAGAAGAGAAAGTGTTAAGTGAGGAAAAAAATGAGTGAGTGATATTTTTCTTTTGAAATACCGTTAGAGTTGTTGTGGACTTGCATTAGTAATAAAAATAATTCCTTTTCTAAAAAAAAGAATACCCAAATTCCCTAACATTGGTTTTCACTTTGTACAATAACTGAGGAAATATTCAAAATGTAGAGAAAGTCGTATCAGCAACTATTAAGTCTTGAGCTCAGAATGTGACTTCTTGGTAATAAGAGGAGTCAGGGGAGGAGATCTGAAGAAAAGCAGATAGAAAATAGGTCCAAGAAGGCAGGTTTGGGGAAAATATTTGCATAGTTGAATATTTATGAAAAGGAACAAACTCACATTCATTCATTAGTCTATATTGAAGCTGAAACTGATGATACCTGTGACCAAAAAATAATAATAAAATAAAGAGAGAGAGAACCAAAGAAGCTCTTCATGTCTTCCTCTTTATCTCTTTGAAATGTACCTTATCTCTAAAATTGACTCTAAAACATTAATGGTCCATTTTTTTTGACTGATCCTTTTCTGGAGGCAGCTAAACAACTCAGCTACAGGAATGCTTCAAATCATTCCTAATTCTAAATATTAACCCTTGGCCAACTTAATCGTAGTGCACCAGCACTTTAAAGCACTCAAACAAAACAGCCTTTACCCACAGAAGATGCATCCATTCCAAGCTGCTCTTTGCTCATAATCTTGCCCCAAACTTGGGTGAATGGTTGGACAAGATCTAGTCCCTGGCTGCCAAGGTCTTGTATTAATGGAGAGAAGCAGGCTGACAGTCTGTAGCCTGAGGAGGTTTTTGGAGAAAAGCCTGAGTGTCAGGGTTAATTACAGCCTGGTTTAAACCCTCAGGTTGAAGATGGACCATGAAAAAGGCAGATTGATGACTACTATGTGGTCAGATGAACCCAGATACTTAGATCTTTCAAGACGAAAAAGTAAAACCTTAGAATCATCTTCAGAGTACAGACACTGTGGTAGGTCCAGTGAAAATTATAAGTTTTGGATTAGACATAGTTCTTGATTTTTCTCAACCATGTTCAAAGAATGTTCGAAGAGCATTTTTTGGGTTTTTACCCACAACCCAAAAAAGTGTAATAGAGGGACAGCAAAAAATAAAATAGAATTCAAGACAACAAACATACCTCACAGAACAAAATATAAGTAACTCAAAGCAACTAACTTTGAGATAGGAAACTGGGGTTTAAATCTCAGCTAGGTTTTCTGATTAACTGTGTGATCATGGACAAGTGTCTGAGCCTCAATTTCATTTTCTCTAAAGTGGGAATGAATAATGCCTACCTCAAACGCAGATATTAAGATTAAATGAGATAATGCATTTGAGAATCTGTTGAATCCATAATGTGGACTGCATAAGGCAGTGGTTCTTAAACTTGGATGCACACTGGAATCAGTTGGGGAGTTAAAAAAAATACTGATGCCTGGGTCATGCCCCCAGAGATTCTGAATTAATTGGCATCATGTGTGGACTTGACAGTGGGCTATATAGAAGTATGAAGGAGCAAGAAACAAACCCACAATTACAGTTGGAGATTTCAATACCCCTCTCTTAATAATTGATAGAACAAATAGATAGAAAATCAGTAAGGATATATATAGAAGACCCAAACAATGCTATCAACAAATTTGCCTTAATTGACATCTTAAAAACATTCCACTTAATGTCAGAGTACATATTCTTCTCAAGTGCACACAGAAAATTCTGTAAGGTAGACCATATTCTAGTCTATAAAATAAGCCTTGGGGAATTTTAACATATTCAAATCAGATGAAGCATGTTCTTTGACCAAAGTCTAATTAAGCTAGTTATTAATAACAGAATGATATCTTGGAAATACCTAATTATTTGGGAACAAATTTCCACACTTCTAAATAACCCATGGGTCAAGGAAGAAATCAAAAGAGAAATTCTGTAATTTTGAAACTAAATGAAAACACAACATACCAAAATTTGTGATATTCAGTCAAAACCTATGGGAAATTTATAGCAATAAACACTTAACGTTAGAAAAGAAGGTCTCAAGCCAATGACCTTAGATTACACCGTAAGCAACAAGAAGAAATGTAAACCTAAACTGAGCAGAAGAATGTAAATAATAAAGATGAAGAAATTAGTGAAATAGGAGACAGAAAAAAATCAATGAAACCAAAAGCAGATTCTTTGAGATCAATAACATTGATAGACCTCTAGCCAGACTGTTTAGGAAAAGAAGATATATTTTTAGGAATGAGAGAGGTGATATCATTATATTTCTACAGGTCATAAAAGCATTATAAAAAAATAAAAGTATTATAAGGGAATATTAGGACAACTTTATACCAATAAATTTTATCAACTTAGAGGAAACAGAAAAATTATTTGATATACTCAAATTACCAAAGCTTATTCAAGAAGAAATAGATAACTTCAATAGCTCTACATCTATTAAAGAAATGGAATTAGTGGTTAAACATCTTCCCACAAAGAAAACTTCTATCTTAGATGGTAGATTCTATCAAATGTTTAAGGAAGAAATAATATCAATTCTACACACAAACACTTCAAGTAAACTGAAGAGGTGGGAATACATACCAACTCATTCTATGAGATCAGCATTATTCTTTTTTTTTTTTGAGAGGGCATCTCTCATATTTATTGATCAAATGGTTGTTAACACAATAAAATTCTGTATAGGGGACTCAATGCACAATCATTAATCAACCCCAAGCCTAATTCTCAACAGTCTCCAATCTTCTGAAGCATAATGAACAAGTTCTTACATGGTGAACAAGTTCTTACATAGTGAATAAGTTCTTACATGGTGAGCAGTGCAAGGGCAGTCATCACAGAAACTTTCAGTTTTGATCACACATCATGAACTATAAACAAGTCAGATATGATTATTCGTTTGATTTTTATACTTGATTTATATGTGAATCCCACATTTCTCCCTTATTATTATTATTATTATTTAATAAAATG